GAGACATTAGAAATCACTGTGGAATCCCCATGTTTTTAGATATTGATTATTCAACAGAACAAGGATCTGAGCAACATGAGCTAATGACTCAATCAGTCTTGCTTCTAGAAGGAGATTTGGCCAGTAGAGCAAGCAGATTAAATTGGCCTGTGATTTTGCATTCTGCATAATTTAGTGACAGACATCATCTTTCTTGATTTGCTTATTGTAGCCCTTAAGATCTAGGGAAAGCACTGAGAGTTTAGGAGCATCCTGATTTTCTGGAGGGGACCATGTGCAGGAGGAATGTGCCCCACCTCTGGCTGATGGAGTCATGTCACAAGGGGACAACAGACTTTGAGAGTTCCTCAGCTGATTAGTGAGGAAGACTTAAGCTGACCTAGGCAATCAAGGGAAATGTTTAAAGAAAAAATGAGCAAAAATTTGTTGTTTTCTTTTCCCACTGCCTTGGTTTTTAATTTCAATAAAAATATCTCAGTATTCAACTCTTTGTTTCATGCTAGGAAGTTACATGGAGGCGTCTGAACAAAAGGAAATATCCTCAGAAGAGACTGACTTTATTGTTTCATACTATATTTGGTCTTTGTGACAAGAGTGGCTTTGTTCACTCAGGGTTTGTGACAGCCACACATAGAGCAGCTGTGATTCCATTTGTTCTATGAAAAGAACTATTGCTTTATCAGGAATCATAGGAATATATCAGGAATATAGGAATCAAACAGAATGGTTTGGGTTGGAAAGGACCTTAAAGTTCATCCAGGTCCACCCCTTGCCATGGGCAGGACATCTTCCACCAACCCAGGTTGCTCCAAAGTCTGTCCAACCTGGCCTTGGACACTTCCAGGGATGGTGCATCCACAACCCCCAGGGCACAAGTGCATGACCTTGCAGTTATTCTCCTGTTATTCAAAAAAGTAACTAAGTGACAATCAGTTAAATTTTATTGAGAGCAGCAATTGAAGCAGGGGAGTTAAATTTGTCCAGTCTTGGGAAACACTAATTTCTAAGCCCACACACACCCACCTGCACATATGCTGGCCCTGGATGCATGCCAGCCTGAGTTCCTGCTGAGACCACATGGGATCAAATACCCCAAACCCTCATCCATTTTACATCCAACATAGACCAGGCCATCAGATGTCACAGAGCTGTCATAGTGCAGGGAAATCATGCTAGTTTCTATCAGCTGAGTTTATTTCTTAGTAAAGATGCAAGATGCAAAATGCAAGAATATTGTTCTGTATAAAGGGATCAGACAGAGATTACAGAAAAAAAAAGGAATTGCATAAATTATACAAGAATCTATTCGTGTCCTGTCCTCATCTGACCTCATTTAATCTCAAATTAAGTAAATAATCCAATGCTGTATTATATTTTGAAATCACCCTGCATAAAACTTAAAGTTTTCTTAAATAAAAGTGCTGCTGTGCTGGCAGAACATTTCCAAAGCAATACAATTTTAGTCAAGTCTAACCTGTCTTTTAAGATGTTTAAGGCCTTCACTGTCTGAGTGCCTTGAGAATGTCTAATAGAATGTGCTAATCTTGATAACCTGCTAATTAGGTGCCACCAACATCTGATGTCCATGTATATCTTGTCCTTGCTAGAAGGAACTGGTGTTTTCACACACATAAACTCTCATTCAACGTGTCTTCATGCCAGTCTTAATATTTGAACACAGATCTTAACTGAGGAAAACGGTGCAGGCGTGTGCAGAACTGTTTTGTACCAGTGTGGGATAGAGCTAGCACACCAAGTAACCAGTTGATTTATGGTGCACAGCACATAGAGGAAAAGAAGTGTGAATAACACAGAGCATTTTGCAGCTATTAATAGGGTGCATTTACACAGATGAGTGAAGACTGTTGCATGTTCCTCCTGACTGAAGATTCCTATCATATGGTAGAAAACTTTCAATCTTTAAGACGCAGTAATCTGAATTTCATCAGAAATGTTCTATTTTAATGCTGAATATTTACCTTTATTTTAAACTCTTGAAATGAATGCATTTGGTGAGGGTTTTTAACAATCACAAAAAGTTATTCAGGAGAATACACAACACTGAATCCTTATAAGAAAACAGACATATTTCATGTTTCTATGAGATATGAAGTTCAAGATGATCTGATCAGAAACTGTTTTAGTTTTTGCCTGCTGAGGATCTGAATTGTAATTCATAGAATAATTCAGTAGTTAAAAATGTGCAGATTTATCAGTCCATATATCCTGACTTACACAGCAATTGCAAAAGCAGAATTTCAATTCTTGAAGACCATTTTCTTGCTCTCTGCACCTCCAGCAATGGTGTGAGTGGGTATAGAATGTCTGGGTCCTGGCCATGTGCCTCCCAGCTACTGCAAAAATTAACCTTGTCCTGGCCAGAACCAGGACACAAAGAATTTTAAAAATTAGCCATTACTATAAAATAAACTAGAAAATGCAATTTTATGAAAATAGCACAATACTGCTGTAATGTGGCAGAGAGCTGTGATATTTTTTTGGTTAGGGTTTTTTTTCAGTGAAAAAGGAAATTTTCACAATGTTTTCTCAGAACAAAATCTGGAGGTCACACTGCTTGTTTTTAACAACTCATTATAGTAGGATATCCATATATTTTATCATTTCAAAATGTTGCTAGTTCTTGGACCTATTTAAATTAGGGTGATATTTCCTATGTGTACAAAATAAACATAGAGCACAAGAGGAAAACTACATCAAACAATGCACTAAGATCCAAATGGTTACATATGCATGGAGCTTTTCTAGGTTTTCAATTTCTGTTTAGCCTGCTTCATTAACACAAAGATGGAAAACAAGTTATTCTTGCATGTTTAAATCCAGATTTTAGATTTAACTCAAGTCTTTTGATATCTGGAATGAGAAAGGAGCAAGGCAAATGGTGACATATTAGGGAGTGACACAGCCTTTAAAAACAAACAATGTGAACTTCATTAAAAAAAGAAAAGCTTCCCCACAGCCAATGTTAATATCATTTTTATGGCTGGAAAAAAAGATCCTGTTTTGTATCTTTTCAGAAAATTATTGGAGGTCTTCTAGGATCCATCCGTCCATCCATCCATCCATCCATCCATCCATCCATCCATCCATCCATCCATCTCAGTCAGTTTCTGCATAGTCCTGTGTGGCTGCAAGCTCATTTTTGCACTATGGACCAAAGTAAAAAACATTACTATTATCTTCAAGTAAGTGTAGTATATTTATTAGATTTGAATATTACCAATGCCTTTATTACCAAGTCTCAAAATTTTAAACAGAAAATTTAATTTAAATCAGCTTTCATCTGAACACTCCTGGGTTTGAAAGCTTTGTAAATATTCACCCTAAAATAAATACTTTGCTATCTAGAAAGAGTTCACATAACAGTTGCTTATTATTCTTTAAAACAAAGCAAGCCACACCACCAAAGTACTTCTTCAGGCTGTGAATTTATCCTCCCGAACCACACAAAAAAATTTAATATTGACTACCAGACAAGTCCCAGTGGAGAAGGAAGGAGATATTCTGACAACTCAGAGGCAAATTTTTTAAGAGACTTTTCAAGAAGGCATAGAGTGACAGGACAAAGGGAAGTGGCTTTAGGTTGAGGGATGGCAGGGTTAGATGGGATACTGGAAGGAATTGTTCCATGGGAGGGTGGGCAGGCCCTGGCACAGGGTGCCCAGAGCAGCTGTGGCTGCCCCTGGATCCCTGGAAGTGTCCAAGGCCAGGCTGGATGGGGCTTGGAGCAATCTGGGATAATGGAAAGTGTCCCTGCCCATGGCAGGGGTGGCACTGGATGGGATTTGAGGTCCTTTCCTACCCAAAAGAGTCTGGGGATCCATGATTCCATGATTCATAAGTGTAAAAGTGCCACTTAGGACTACACTGTGTATATTTTTAATTGGTTTAAATAAGAAGTATTTTCCTAGGTATGTGATCTGCTGTTGGCTGATCTGGGTATCATGAGGAGGAAGGAAGAAGTGAAGATAAACTGAGAGCTAAAGGGCAAGAGCAAGAGTGGGAAAGAGACACCAAAACCATGTGCTTAGGAAAAGAGCAACTACCTAAATCCTGCTTGTGTCATGCAAGGATCCAGGATCTCTGAAAAAGCCTCAGAGATAAGCATTTCTTCAGCCAAAGGCACTCAAATTTAAGGCAAAACACTACTGTATTATTTACAGCATAAAATCTCTTGAAATCGACTTTCATAAGCTTGATAATCTCGACTGAATTTTAAATTATCCTTTAAAAATTGCCTGCCTAATTTTCATCTTTGGATTCACAGGTTGGAGAGAAACTCTGCATCTCACAATGATTCTGAACAAAAAAAGTCTAAAAAATTATACTTTTTTTTAAATATATCTTTGGATAGTTTTTGGTCCTAATTAGTTATGAAAATCCATGTACATAATTTCATGTTCTGCAGGAAAAAAGATTTTTGGAAAAAAGTGCTGTGGTGTGTCTGTGAGAGGGAGAGATTTCCTTTTTATATTTTTCAATGGTTGAACAAGAATAAATCACTGAAATGGACACCTGCAGCTAAATATGAAATATTAATTCAACACAGTAATAAATACAATATTATTCTCAGTGGCCCTAATTATAAATAAATCCCAACAATCTTCTATCACCATTTCTTCTGCTTTACTAATGTGATTCATTTGAAAAACAGTCTATTTTCATTAAAAAAACAACTGAAGTAATTAACTGGTCTCTCTTTACCCACTTCTGAAGCAAAAAAAAAAAAAAAAAAAAAAAAAAAAAAAAAAAAAAAAAAAAAAATAAAAAAAAAAAAAAAAAAAAAAAAAAAAAAAAAAAGATTCAGAATATATAACCTCTGTTATTTATCCATTTTAAATTAACATAGAAGACCTGCTCCTGGTAATCAAAGAATTCATGGGAAAACAAGGAAACAAAAAGCAAATCTGCTGATTGCTCGCTGTGTTAAAGCAAGCTCGGTTTAGTTTTTTATCTCCTTCCCTTTTCCCTTCATTCTGCAGGTAAATTACAGCAATCCCCACCCTGAAGAAGTTTAGAAGAGGCAGACCTGTTCCCAGAGGAACAAACGGGCTCTTTCTAATGGCCCTCAAATCTCTCTTCTTGCACTTGAGTTCATCCTCCCGTGCTCCCTGCTCTGAAAAAGGCAGCTGGCAGTGAGCTCCAAGTCCTGCTTTTACCCACATCTCCGAGGGGCTCAGATGATGGAAAACAGACATGAATGACTGTGGAACACACGGAGCTGAATCTAGGCAAAAGAAAGTCATCCTACAAGGTGTGTTTTTAATGGGAGTTCTGGATGTGTGTTTGGTGGGGTTTTTTAACGGTAATTTGTTTCTTAATGATGAACAAAAAAGCAACAAATTATTTAGACAGAGCTGATTTGAATTAAAGAGCCCGTGACTTTATATTTAATTGCTTTATTCTTCTTTAGATCTAGATACATTAAAAAAAATCCAGGGAGCATCCATGCAGCCCATTGCTTATGCAAAAAATTTCTGGAAGCTTCCAGAGGTAAAAGTATCTGGGGATGCTGTAATTTCTGTCTTCAGGGCCATGATGGTTCAACAGAATTCCCTGGTCCAGATAATTAATTTTTCTTTACTTCTATTTTTTCCTGAAAATAATTAATTTTTTCTGACTTTTACCTCCTGTTCTTGAACCACAGGACTCTGAGAGGTGGTGTGATTAGATGGGATATCAGGAAGCAATTCTTCCCTGGGAGAGTGAGAAGCCCTGGCACAGGATGCCCAGAGAAGCTGTGGCTGTCCCTGGATCCCTGGAGGTGTCCAAGCCAGACTGGATGGGGCTTGGAGCAACCTGGGCTGGTGGAAGGTGTCCCTGCCCATGATGAGGGATGGGACTGGGTGATTATTAAGGTGCCTTCCAAGCCAAACAATCTGGTATTCCATAATTTTCTGATCTGTTATGGCCACAAGCTTAGTCACCCCTGTGAAAGAACCAGAGAGAGACATGGAGGTACCCAACATCTGGGCAGGAATCGATTGCCAAGTCAAAAGGAATTAATTTTGTAACTCCAATGGTGAAATTCAGGTTTGTGTCATAGTTACCAGCATGCTGTAGCTTGATACGTTGTGTCTGTGTCCACACTCAAGTGTGAAGTAATAAAAAACATCACAAATCAGAGTTAGTAAATAAGTTGAATTATATATCCTCACAGAAGGAATGGGGCCACTTCTGGCCTGTAGAAGAGTCTGATCAAGCTCACTTTCTGCACTGGGAGAAAAAGAAAATATGGATTTTTGAAATATTTTTCCCCAGCAGGCAATAGTTCAGTGGTAAATCCTTCAAACTAATTTTGGGGAATCAGAGACAGGAGTAATGTACATATAAAATCAGAAGTGACAAGAATCCCTCACTGAGCTTTCTGGAATGCTACCAGGATGGAATTGGTGACCATTCCAGCCACATAGGCAGACATGATATGAGACTTATGGAATTATACAAGAAAAGACTGCTCTGGTTATATATTTTAACTCAAGTCAGGATTAAAACTGTTCTGTGGGTTTTTATTTAAAAAACAAGTAATGAGATGGCAATCCCAGAGCTATACATTTATAATCAATAGCAGCAATATGACACCTAATGGCATTACTGCACACTCAACAGCTGTTAATAAAACCTTATAAATGTCTAGAACCCTTTAATACTTATTTGCAAAATATTTTTTCTGGGAGTACGCACTCCCACACAGTGTTCACACACTCCTGTGGATCCACCCCCACACCGTGTGTGCTGCCATCACACATCCCCTCTCCTGGCTCTGGGTTCCCCTCCCTGGGAGGGAGGTGGTCCAGCTCTGGGTGTCCTCCTGCTGCTCCTCACGCCCACGGAGCCACCAACACCCTGGGGAGCCAGGGCTGCACAGCCAGGGTGGGGCCCTGCATCCTTCCCAGTCTGGTTTGTGAGGAATAAACACTGGCCTGGAAGGGTTGGTAGAATGGTGACTCTTAAAGTGCCAAGCCCAGGCTTTCTGCTATCTGTTACCTTCCTCTCAATCCCTGAATCATATATTTCCCATCCTTAATTTTATGCCTTTTCAAGCTGGCTCCTTCTTTCATCCAACGTCTCTTGATCGTGCTCTGGATAGTTCTTAATTTGGCTTATCATCACCATAAGGAAACCTCGATATTTTTAATTTGCTCTTGATCAAAACCATCAGTGTTTGGGCAAGAAACCTCTCAGAGGAGATAGTTTTGGGTGCCACACAGATTATTCACACTCCCTGAGTTACCCAGGTCCCATTCCCCAGAGGTGTATGGGGTGTTTGTGGCAAGGCCTTGATGCAGAGGGGCTCTGAGGGGTGGCTTCTGGGAGAAAATGCCAGAAGCTCCCTCATGCTCAGCACAGTTCCAGGCAGCTCTGGGATGAATCTACTGCTGGCCACACCTGAGTGGAAGAAATTGTTGATCCCCAACTCCCTTGGGGCAGCTCCATAGCTGCCATCTGGAGAGGAGGCTGAAGTGGAACAAGGCTTCTGGCAGGACTTGTTCTGGAGGAACAAGGCTGGAGCAGCCTTCTCCTGCAGGACTGACCCTGTGCAAGGGACCCATGCTGAAGCAGTTTGTGAAGAGCTGCAGCCCATGAGAAGAGCTCAGTCTGGAGAAATCCATGAAGGATTGTCTCCCATGGGTACGACCCCACGCTGGAGTAGTGGAAGTACCTGAGAAGGAAGGAGCAGCAGAAAAAACAAAGACCACAACCCCTATTCCTGTCCCCTGTGCTGCTCAGCTTTAGGAGCTATATAAACTGGGAGTGAGGCTGAACTCAGGAAGAAAGAAGGGTAGGAAAAAGTTTGGTTTAAGTTTGTTATTATTTCTCGTTATCCTACTCCTTTGTTATTTGATAATAAATGAATTCCCCAGAGCTGTCTATCTTGTCCATGCTGGTGATGTGTGAGGGATATTTTTGTCCTTACCTCGCCCACCAGCCCTTAATCATTGTTTTTCTCCACTGTCACACCGAGAAAGGGGGAATGATAAAGCATCTTGGTGGGCACCAGATATCCAGCCAAGGTCAGTCCAACTCGTGCAGATTACTAAAAACTGGAAAACAAACACATAAGGAAAAGGTAGAGCTTTTATTAAAGACCTTTTTAACTTCACCAAAATGGATGAGAACATCTTTCCAAAATGTTATTCACTGGAATGAAGAGAGCTTAGAGTTCTTGGTCAGGCAGACCTTGGTCAACTTCCCTTTTTCGTGTGGTATATTTGTTATTTCTGGCATCCTCTTACAGCCATAAAGTAAATATGATGTTGCAGGTGGGTTGTGCTACTGTGGTGCTACCTGGTGTTATTTCTGCATGTATCTCATGATATGACTTTAACAAATGCAGCACAGATACTCTATTCACAATTTTTCTTTCATCTGGCATTCTGCCTTACTGTTGCAGGTTTCATTTGTGGCCTTTTATGAGTTCTACTTTTCTCTCGCATCTCCCACATCACCAGTGAAGCTGTAAAGTTTTGAAATAATTCTTCCTTAGGCGTATTAACTCGACATTTTCTGAGAACAGTTTCATTGTGTTACTCTTTCCTGGCTCCCAATACTGCTTTGTCCCTCTGCATTCTGTTTTCTTGTCCTTAGTTTTGCTCTGCATGAGTGACCAAGGACCACAGTGTTCACTTGGCTGAGTTAACAGGTGCAGGTGGCATCTTCATCGAGGTGCATACCTTCCCGAAATCTCTTCTGAACTTAGGCTTACATTAATACTGCTGTGTCTTTAAACCATCAAACTCAATCTAGTTCTTTATCAGCTATTTTGCTTTTTCTTATGGTATGTAGTTGATATATGAAATTTTCATGTGTTCAACAAAACATATATTCTGCTTTTCAGTTACAAAATCAATTAATTTGCTAGTGAAAGACAACTTCTTACAAGTGAACCACTTGTCCTTATACCAAACTCTTAAATCAACACTATTGTCTGACCAAGGCTATGCAAAACTGACATAATTTCTCACTGTCCTTTGACAGTGAAAAGGCACCAGAAGACAGGAGCTCACCTAACTGGATGATTACTGTACAGCGTACAGGCAAACACTTTCTCTGCCAGTAAAGGCTGGATTTTATGGCTGTGCTCTGAGAAGAAACTCCAGTGAGATAACAGATGAGATGGCAGCAGGTGTAGGAGTTCCCATGAATAAAACAGAAGCAGCAGCAATAGAGGAGCTGAGCAGCTGGGCTTAGGTACTCAATGTTGTCATTCTCTCACTGCAAGATTGATTCCATGGATGTCTCACTGAAATTATTTTAGCTGGCTAGTTGGATTTTCCCCTAGTTTTGTCTGATAACTGATTTTTCTTTCTAGATGTTTGTTTCACGTTTATCATGGTAAATTTAAGAAAATGGCTAAGAAAAGTCCTTACAAAAATCAGCAAGTTACTCAAGAGAAAATATAAAGTTATATTCCTCTTCCTTTGGAGCTGCTGGAAGTATTGGGTTATAGAATCAAATCTGCTGTGTGCATTGTGCATCTTTCTTTTTTTCTGTATTTACCATTCCCTTTGGTCCTCAGATGCCTTTACAGAAGACTATAAAGGATCTTTGCTGGATTAATTTTCTTTATCACCTAAACTTGTTATATAAAAATAACTTCTCTGCAAGAGAGCCTGGTAGTAACACGGTAGAGTTTTCCTTTTATATTATGTACATTGTAAATTCTTGTCAGCAAATTGGATGCTAATAGAAGCAGCAGAGAATCCACACTTGTGTGGCTGAATTCCTAACAAGGGCAAATCCAACCAGTGGGCTACACTGAACTGGTTTAGTAACTGAAAACCAAATTTACTGTTTTGCTACAAACACAGATGCTGGTGCTTCATCATGAGTCCCTTTTACCCAGGGGTGAGAGAGAGGAGGATTCTTGTGAGTAGAAGCAGATGGCACTTCTGCCTATTTTAAAGCAGTCTCATTAAGAGATGCTGCTGAGAAAAACTGCATGGACTTAATTATTTTTTTGGTAATGTGTAAATTTGGAGAGCATTATCAGCAGATATAGTCGTACTGTGAGAAAAAATAAGTATGATTTGTGGTTAATTCCAAAATAAGGTGTCTCCTTTGCTCAAATCTCATGTCATAAAAAAAAGCTACAAAAGAAAGATAAGCAACTCTGGACTTCTTTATAGAATTACATAGTTACATTGCAAAGTTGATGCATAATTTTTCAGGGTTCGTAACTGCAAAGAGCCCTATAAAAATTTGAAAATATAAACTGTTACGAAATACCATGTTTTGCTCCTCTGAGAAAAAAAAAGACAAAATTTTAATTTCAAATTAAATGAAGAATTTTCAGCCCAAATTTCAGCTCAGAACAATATTATTGTTGTTTTTATTGTTTTTATCAGCCATCTGCCATGTACTCAGTCCAAGTAAAAACATGCAAAGACCAGTCCATGGAATGTGCTGAGTCTCAAAGAGTTTGTTGTTCCTCTTTCCTGTCTTGCAAAAGGAGGTAAGCAAAGAACTGAGAGCTTACTAATACCTGACAAAAAGCTCCTTATTTCCTTATGGAACAGCAAATGCCTGCCCCAGATAGTGCAGGTCAGGTGGGTAATGTATATCTGCATGTACCTCAGACATGGAGAACAGCACAGACAGCTCTGTCAGGGATATAAACAAGCATTTTATGTTCCATTAGTCTCCTGGATTTTATTCTCACTTTCTCGGAGAGAAACAGGCTTTGATACCATCCCTGCACTGAGTTATAGCCCATTATACTGAGAAACCTGAGAAATAAATTTGCAGGCATTCACACATCCCTCAAACCACTCAGCTCTAAGATGCTTCACTCAGCATCACCTTCCCTGCAGGATCCACTAATTGACAAGTCTGCTGAAGCACAGGAGAGATCCAAGGTGCACACACTGAAAGGAAGAGGGAGAGTTGAGTGTCTTTAGTGTCACTGTCAAGGGGATGGACCAGGCTCTGCTCTGTGCAACAGAGGAACAGGCAGGAACTGATGCCCAGGAAGTTTCTCCTGGATATGAGGAAGAACTTTCCAGCACAGTGAAAGAGCTCTGAAAGAGCCAGGCAGGAGTTGAAATCTTCCTCACTGGGGATACTCCAGAACCATCTGGCAATCCTGTGCCATGTGCTGTGGGATGGAGCTGCTGGAGCAGGAGGTGGGATCAGATGAGCCACTGTGTAAAGTCAGGGACCTCAGATACCGGGAAAGCTGGACATGACTGAACGTACATCCAACCAATATAATTAATGCTATGTTCTCTGTTTATTTGAGAGTAGATGGCAGTTTATATACACTTCTATATAGTTTACAGTTTACAAAGGCACTCTCATTGGCAAGCTAACATTGTTTGTCTTTGTCTTAAGGTGGCCTAAACCTCACACTATAAACCTGTACTACTTCACACCCAGACAGCCCAGTGCTCCCCATCACACCTTAATACAATTTCTAACTGCGCCACAAACTCTTAATTTCTAACTGCATCAGAGGCTGGAAGGCCTCGCAAGGGCCAAATCTGAGGTCCAGATGGGAGTAGTTAAAATCTCATTCCAGACATAAATCATGCCCCCTCTCTCTCAGAAATTCTGTAACAACTGTGGGCCTTTCCAGCCTTGTTTGTTGTATGTCCAGACAATGAGACCTTCCAGCCTTGTGCTTGAAGGTCCCT